TTAAAAACTGTAAAAATTACCAAAACAATTTTTTGATTTAACATTTTTCTATTCTTCCAGAAAATCCCGCGATGACATCATGAAATAGTGTGATAGTATGCTGAATTTGTTCATAAATTTTGGAGCTAGCTTTCACCCTAGTAATGATTTAATTCATCACTTTCCATTGTTCTAGAACAACGATTTTCTTTTTTCGTGGAAATGATAATAAATGTTCCTAGTTGAACAATACTTTATCGGTTTTTTATTTATTTAATATAAGAGTACTTTGGTCAATAAATGAGCTTGTATAAAGTATGTATTGTTTTTAATCATGGTAAAATGTCTATTTTATTTACCATATCAATTTAGACGTCGACATTTACAATGGCCATCGATACAATGTCTGCTATTATGTCTACAGTGATTTCCAAACCAGTCATCCAAGTTATTGCACGCTGAAATACATATGTGCATGTATTATTTAAACTATAACATTTACTCATTTCATTTATGTATAGCTTGTTGAAATCCGGCACCATTTGTCACATATTTGTTCTAAAAGCGCCAAGTTGACATGGTTTATGTGGCTCTTGATTATTGCGGCATTTGCATGACAAGGTTCTTCACTTTACTTATTTATTGAAAGTTCAAGATTTTAATATAAAATGCTCATAAAGTCACATAAATGAATACAAATATCTACGTAAAAGGCAAACCCGTGTTGCTGTGTTTTAATGTTATAACAATGTGATATAATGTATTCCATACTGAATACTAAAGCAAAAGCCAAAACGCAAAAGATGACCAATGAGTAACGTTAATTAAACACTTGAAAAAATCATAAAAAACTATAAGATATAAAACGTATTGCATTTTTTGAAAAGTCTATGCTCAATTTAAACGTTCTACATATGGGAGATTATATACTTATCTTATGCCAACCTAGAGTTAATCAAGAACCGGATTATGCTCCCCAAATAGGTTTTGGAAACAGAAAAGTAGATTCTTATTGAAATTATTTGTAGTTTCAAAGTTATATCCCGGACATCGTTCAAAGCGTAAAAATGAAAAAGGCAAACTCTCCAAAATTAGGCAAGACATAGTTCTAGTTCATACGCATTGCACTTTTACTTAATGATATCTATTTACCTACTAAGTTTCTTGTTAAAACCTTTTGCGGTTTCAGAGTTATGTCCTTGACAAATTCAAAGTATAAAAACGAAAAAAGGAAATAACTACAAAAATATGAATGGCCAAGTTACGGGTCTTCTGCACTGCACTTTTACGCAATGAGGTCTATCTACCTACATTTTCATTTGCTGATACATCTTGTAGTTTCTGAGTTATGTCCTTTACAAAATGCTGACGGACAGACAAACGGACGAGAGAACGAAGCGGCGAATACCAATATATGTTCTTCCTTTGGGAGCATAACAATGAAGTTCTTAGGGAGTAAATACGCGCATTACATTAAAGTTGGAGGCATGAAAAGATATGTATATTAATATTGTTATTCTTGTAATTTGACCTGTACTAAAGAAACCTGAACCAGAGACAGTTCCTCAAAATATCTCAGCGAATGGCTTTGAAGCTTGCAAAAATGATAATCCACCTTAAACTGGACTGATCAGTCAAGCTGGACGAGGGTATCCACTGGAAGTTTTTCATGCTTCCACTTATCCCCACAAATAATAACTGGCTAGAGGCAAAGCCTATGTGCAGCTCCGCTTAGCCCCATCATTTATATATAGTACAAAGCAGAGCCTAAGTCTATTGAATGTTTTACCACTACTTGAACTTGATTCTGATATTATTTCCTACATGCACCATGAAGAAACCAAGCATTCCTCAAATCTTTTTCCTAAATGATAAAGTCTTAACTATTCCCTCACCCTTTATTATGTGATTAAATACAAATTTGATAATGTTAATACAACTTGCCAATTAAAGGCTTATATTAACCTTTAAAAATACACATTTTAGGGATTCTCTTGACCTAAGTATTTAACCGACCACACAATCATTTCAAAATCACATTGGTTTTGAGAAATCTGTTGAAATTGACCTGTAATGACATGCTGTTTTTTTACTGACTGGGGCCTCCAGTCGCATAAGGATATAAACAGGTGCACCACATCCCTATTATGTAGGATGTCATAACACCGTAATTCTTTCAAAAATATTATGATTTCATTTATTTGTTTTTATTTTAAATGGAAACATTGTAACAAATGCTGCTGGACGATGGAGACTTGAACATGTTGTAGGCCTATCGCTGGTTGTTTTGCTGCGGGTTCAGTGTCCAAATATATTAATAAAATATAAATACTCCGACAGAATGACTCAATGGCACACAGATGAAATGTTGGATTAAAAAAAGTTCCACAAAAATTACATGTGTATGTGTACAATTCACAGCGCCATTGCCACAATTTCAGGATATATTAATTTTGTTGCTCTTTCAATACTACCTTATGAAGTAATCCGAATGATTACGTAAAACATGCGTGCTTGAATATAGAACGAGACAAATTTCCATTGTGTTTTGTTGATAAAGGTACATGCATTATTTTTCGCATACTTGAAGCATTACTAACATATTAAATTCCTGTTAATTTCATCTGTAAGAAAGATTAGTACAATAAAAATATACAATTTAAAAGTTAATTGTCTTAACTTAGTTAATATAATTTTGCACTTGTCTGCGAGAAATGTTACTATTTTCAGATTTTAACAGGGGTTGTTTTATCAACTATATACATGTATAGCCACTGACTTCACTTTTTTTCTTTTTCTACCAGTTCTAGCCAAACTTTTCAACACTCATATTACTCGGAACATACTTGCGTTTTTATAGTTTTATACATATTAATCGAGGATGACTCCTCTTCACGGATTACAACTGTAATTAAGCAAACGTAAGTGACAGAAATTCGGTATTTGTATCCGTTTCTTTAAATGTTAATAAGAATGCAAAACAAAACGCCTCCCATCGTTGTATTTTTGACAAACATGTAGTTTTATTTGACATTTAATTGTATTTTTGACATTGTTGTATTTGACATATAATTGTATTTTTGACATTGTTGTATTTTTTGACATAAAAATACCGCTGTATTGAACCTGTTATTTGCACAGTCATAAAATTTTGTTTAAGGAAACGTTTTTTTTTATTGGTCGGCTAATAAGGCTTATAATAGATTTTCCAATGATCCCGTATATTTCAAGCATAGTTCTAGAAGAGCATATATTACACCTAACAATGAGAAAACATGACACATTATTATATAATCTATAAATAGCTTTTAAATGCCTTTCCCTGATTGGCGATCGTCTCGGTCAATATTATTTTTTTCAGTACAAGTCACATCATATTCACCAGCTAAAAAGTCCATATTTGTATACTATTGTATGTACACGAAAATAGGTATAGATAGAATGTATATGTAGAATGTGTTCGTTTTTTTATATCTTCCTTTCATCTTATGGACACTTCATTTATGTTACTTAACTTCACTAAAAATTTGGTTTGAAAATGTGTTCTTATATCATTAAATCAATTCATCATATCATGCACTTTTTATACTTTATCTCTCTGTCGTTTTTTGTTTCTCCAATCTACGGCATATTCTTGACAAGAGTAGATCTAGTTAATCTATGTCTATTCAGAATCTATCTGGCATTAGTAGTTGGTCACTTGCAGGAAATTTGGTAAAAATTGTTATCGGAAACTCAGTAAAATTCCTTTTTGAGGTGGACTTACCGCCGATATATGACAAACATTTGTTAGAAAAGGAGTACAGTTAATCAAACCAGCACACAAATAAAGCATTGTATTTGCCTTGGATTTTAAATTGAATTTTCTAAAGTTTGACTTGTACCACGTGTTTGGTTACGCGTATGGTTTCTCTGTCTGTTTACCCGCCAGAATATAATCCTGTATTGTTTTCGCATGTCATTTTAAAATTACGTGAAAGAATAAAAATCTAAACACACGCACGGACGCATGACTTAACAGTATGTCTCTTATTTAACCTTCAAGCTGTGAAAATAATCACTGCTTTCGTTTCTTTTATTTTTACTCAAGCAAGCATAGTCACTGTATTTTCTGTGGATTGTGATGACTTATTTTTATAATTTGTATCTGTAGTGTCAAATTTTCAAATAAAAGAAATCAATTATTAACAAATTGTCTTCGTTTTTCAAACACTTAAAATAATTTTTGGCGTACAATATAAAGCATATAGTCGTCCTCCATATTTTTTGTTGTCAATTTATGTCTATGAAATAAATGTAAATTGATTTGGAAAATGTTTTAATCGTAATTAGACGATGTGCAAAACACAGGTTCTTGATTTATAAGAATAAGTACAAAGTCAGACCAAATCATGTAAAATCCTTTATGAGTAATAAGTAGACAGTAACATAATTAACAATTTAAACTGCACAAAAGGAGGGACTGTCTTCACTGTTATTAATAAGAAGTGCATAACAACTCTCCCTACATCAACGGGCATTAACTTTTGTTTATAAAATGTGTACAGTTTTTATTGAAATAAACATAAAGTTTAAGGCATGCTGCTTTTAAGCAATTTACTTTTACACGCAACGAGTCCAAATCACGGACTGTCTTATTTCTTTCTTCAACAATTATAGACTACTGTCCACTGTTGATTACTCTTGATTGTGTATACATGTCACTTCCATATACATAGAAATTTATGATCAGATTATTCTAAAAATAAACGAGGCTATATGGGGTACGATATGCATTTGATATAGAGTTTTGGACTGTAAAAGTAGAAAGGAAGGTTAATTGATTGAAATGAACAATGATAACTCTTATAACGTTACGTCACGTGGTTAAAACGCTGAAGGTCCATTGGTTATCGTTTTTAAAGTATGAAATAAAATATGTATATAAATGTTGATTATTTATTTTATCCATGCGCAGTTGATAATTTCAAGCCGTTAACAAACGGCTGGTAACTTTTTCAAGCAAATTATAACAGAGGCAGTTTGCGTACAATATTTAATACACTGAAATGACTACATAGATTCTTAGCAATAAACATGATACAAGTACAGTATGTTTTGTATATATATTGTTTTAGCATGGTAACCTAAAAACTCTTGATGGTATATTTTATCGCATCAATTCTGTATTGTATAGATATATGTATATATGAAATTAATTTTACGGTCAGAATTCCCGTTGGATATTTATTGTTGATACCAATTCGAATTTGCCAATTTGATCAATTGAAGAGACGTTGAAAGGCCCATAAGGTCTCTGAAATGCTATCATTTTTTTTCTGAAAAACTTTTTTATTTTATGATATTTGTTTTACGTTTCGAAAATATTTACTAAATGGCTATTTAGAAGAACAATCTTTTGATTCCATTGCTCTTTGGAAATGGGTACAATTATAGTGAATATTTGAGTATTTTTTATGGAAGTCATAATACTACTTTGTTTACATTTTACTATATCATCGGCATATAACTGCACATTAAGCGATACTTTTTTAAGTTTCTTAACATCTAACATGTTGAAATTTATTATTAAACCATTATTAGACAATATTTAATCTTTAATTACATGTTATTTTTTTTTTATTTCAGGGCATATTGTGTCTTTAAAGATCATTTGACTAAACATTACTTCCTTATTAAGTCAACAGTTACCTGGTATTATGAATAAATTTGTTATATTAATTATTGACTAAAATACAACACACGGCATTTTGTGCCGGTTAAAACATTAAAAACAAACACTATTTAAAAATGATATTAATATCGGGCAATTTTAAAAAAATATTATAAAACTCTGTCACCACTGTTATATCAAGATGTTTTTATCAATTCAAATAGAAATATGCGAAAAAATTGATCCTAAAGATCTTTCTACAACACATATGTTCCTTTGCACATAAATGCACTCAATCACCTTGAAATAAACAATTTGAACAGACCGAAGACATACTCCCACACCAACAAAACAACACAAACAAACAACACAAAATCTATAAAAAAAACCCATCGAATTCGCTTTTGTGAATAAAAAAAATATGGAGTCTGAAGCAGAGGCAATCAGTTTTACAACTAGTATTGTAAAGCATTCGAGGGTATCTCTTCATTGTTCTTTTCCTATACACATTTTTAGTAATTCTTTAGAAAGGGAAAACATGAACTTTATGATGTTAAGATAATGGTTTTAGAGAATATTAGCCAATAACGTGAAATAATTTGTCATAAAAGTAGCAAACTTTTCACAAAGTATTGTATACAAGTATTTGAATTATATACAAAATACCGATTTACTCTAACTGAACTTACTGCCAACAAGCAAAATACTAAAAAACTGGTTCAGGTAAAATGCTAATGAGTACCTTTTGGGATACTATTATAAAAGTGTACTAACATTAAAAGGTTTTTGTAAAATAAAATAAAAGAGTTTCTAAGGCATAATGGGCCTTTATTGAATGTCCATCAACGTACATTTTCCACTTTAAACTGAAACAAGAATGACTTATTACTAACAAACATGTCTAGCAAGAAAAAGCGTATTAATCCCACTTAAAGGTACCATGACGAGTATCTATGAAAACAACAATATTTATAATCTAAACAAATAAAGTTAACTTTATTTACAATAAACTATGGCATAAAAAAGAAACTACAGCGTAAGGCGTTTTATCCACAAACATCAAAACTATGATTTGACACTGATATCTTGACAATAACTTGAATGTATACGTATAAAGATGCTGACAATAAAAAATCACTACATGCATATATGATATAAACAATATATATAACTAAAAGTCTGCATTTTGTATTGTAACTTTTTGTGTACCACACATAATCTTTATCATATTTCGAAATAAGTTTCCAAATTATAGGATATTTTCCTTTATAGAGCTCTTTCGTTATCAGTTTTATAATCCTTATTGAACTTACTAATTTGTACTGATTTTACAAGGGGTACATTGATATCACCCGAGTAGGACTCGAACAAATGATGACAGGATTGTGAGGCAAAACCTTAATCATAATGCCTACCCTCCTCCTCACAAAAACAGATACAACACTAATAAGAACATGTAAAACGATGCTTTGACACAATCTCATCTTCTTGGCCCTTTCCGTCAAACTTCGGATAATAACATCGAAAATTATAAGAAAAATATACAGTAATGTCACAATAAACAACATTGATACTGTGATGACAACATTCTACACAATAAGTTTAATAATATTCATAAAATTACAAATGATTCAATTGAATTTAAACAACATCAGGAAAAAAAATGATTAAAAAATTACAACATCATTGACAAAGTAAACACATTTAATGCATATATTTTTTTAACAGCGGTAACGTATCCTATGGTTAACATTATTGATTTTTATACGATGTTATGAATATTGAATAAGTAAACATATTGTTAAAAATGACAAACTAGCAACAACAATGGAACAACAAACTTATTTAAGACAGCAATGATTTTACACAATTGTAACTTTACGGCCCTTCCTGTCAAACTTCGGATAAGAACTTCGAACTGCACAGAACGGATAAGGTATTTTGGTCTTACCTACGCTAAGTAAATAGTAATTTAATGCTAAGAGATTTGACTTATTTTTTTCCAAATATATCGAGTAAAAGTTCACTAATATAAAGTAAATTCATAGATATAAAAGTAAGCAGTACATTTTTCATATACTTATTATGATGGTTGTTGAAACCTGTTGACATGAATTTGTGTTTGGTTTTCAGTTGGCATTTTTAAATTAATTATGATTGAAAGACATACATTGTATTTTCAATATTTATTTTACCTCAATATACTTTATATTCCTGTGGATGTTAGGTATGACAATTTGTAACATATTATCAAAGATTGCACCCTTTGTTTTTTTTATTACATCTTAACCCACGTTGAAGAACTACATTTTGTTATTTCAATCCGTATTAAGTCCTAGATTATTTGAAATAAAAGCCGAGTTGTTCCGACTGTAATCTGACACAGTATGAAATTTTTATGACATAATGACAGTACAATTAACGTTTATTTACAAAGATATCTAAAACAAAAACAGTACGTCACATGGAATTTAAAATATCTATATACAGAAAAAACAGTCAAGTAATTTGAATTTCTTATTCACATCATCCAGTACGAATAAAATGTCTATACTGTGTACAGTGTAGAAGCAGTACGCAGTACCTCTAAACGCTTGCAGAATTCATAATTACAAAGTATATACCGGAATACGGTATTAAGTATGGTGCTCCAACACTTATTTTTGTCTGTACATATGCCTCGTAACAGAGACAACTTCTTTCCATTGAATACTACTCTTTACTTTAAACCCTTTTCATATTTTAAGATAAGTTTTTGCAGAATGCTACCAAATTGGCGAATATTTTCCTGTAGAGCTCTTTCATCAGCAGCTAATGACGCTTTGGCATCGATTACAACAATTGGTTTGGTAACCTATTGACAAAAAGTAAAATTGTTACTAATTAAGGCTGATGAAGCTGTACATTAAAGTAAAAATGTAAAAAGAAAACGGGATGAAGAGCAGATATATACCGCCAATGTCGATTTTATTTTTCTTCATTATAATCATATTTGCGGAATGAACAGTTTCGTAACAAAATTGAGGGTTTCTGTGTAAAAGATTGAAAATATCGTCATTACGACGTATATAAAATGAACTCCAAGAAATGTTTTAAACTCATTAATGACTTAGATTAGATTACTTGTTTAATCAAACAGTACTATATATTTATTCACAAAAGATTTAAAACTAAAATTCTGTTATATAGTAAACAGTATATCAGCTTACAAATCATAAATCTATTGTTGTTCTTTTTGCTTTAAAATATTATCATTATTATTGCTTGTTTTTAGTCAATACCTTATCATCACAGTGACCTATTTCTTTTATATATTTAGATATTTGATTTGCTCATGTTTTGTAAATCATACAAACTGAGTGTTATTGTAAAAATAAATTGAAATTGTTTATAAAACTATGTAAGTACCTTTCTTTTATACTCCGTTATGTAAATGTTTTCCTCACAAATCTGATCTATAGCAATAAAACTCTCATGGAATAGACGGAGATAATCGGCAAGTTGTTTGCACACAGCCACAACAATATTGACTGACAAGCAACTGTCATCATTAAGAATCTCTTGAATACTACGTTTCGTCCCAACTGGTACAAGTTCACTTATCATCCGCACAGATCTGCTAAATTGCTGGTATTCTAAAATGGCGCTACCAATTTCTAAAAAAGGTACATGTTCAATTGAACTATACATTATTGTAATAATTTATTTATTTATGACGGAAACGGCTGTACTTTTATCTGCTGTATACAATCATTTTATTTTAACTGGTTATCTGCATTTCAAACAGTTTGAACAACAGTCTATGTGGTGCTACGTTTATCAGATTGACATCGTTCAAATATTTGTAAACTTGAAATGTACTTTAAAAGATACTCCACTAAGCTGGTTTGACATTACGGGATTGGAAATAATCAGGAACAATATCTTGTGCACAGAATTTCAGATCGTTCACATAATCATTTTTTCAAGAATGTTTTTTTTCTGCATAAAAAGGACTCAGCATTGAAGAACGTTACAATGATTTTCGCTCAAATCTATTTTATAATAGCACACAAATTGATTTTCAAATTTATCTGAATATATTTCTCAATTATGTTTCGTGTATCTTTCTGTTTATAGTACCCCAGCTGATTTAGATAGGAAAATGAACGTTTATGTTTTATGCTTCTGAAACTCAGAGGAGATCTTTTAAACGTCGCGTTTATAAATATCTGGATAAGCATTGCATGTGCGCCAACGACTTATTAAAAGGACTCCATTGAGGTTTAAAAGCCTAAAATCATAACATTTGAATTTCTTACATCAATGAGCTGGGCACATTAAACAGAAATATATGCAAAGATAGTTAAAGGAATAGGAATGGATGGATTGATGTCTGTCTAATATAAATATTCATCATTTAAAAAGAGGAACCATGACAGTTTTCCTATTGACATCAACCCTATAAGAGAGAAATTCGTGTTTTAAGACACTATTTTTTACTTGAGAAATAAGTTCATGGGCGCCGCCATTTTGGCGTTCTGTCATTCTCGCGAGACAGACGAGACCGAGATTGTGACGTGTTACACCCACTTCCGGTATAGGTGTACACGCTGGTACAACTGAAATATATCTTGATGAAGAACTTATTAATTTTATTGCGTACATTATATATTATTTATGAAAACATCATATGGAACTGAATTGCTTTAATTAATTAATTGAAGACGCCGCGACATTAATTATTATTTGTGAATGTCCGATATTCAAGCTTGCTGATGATCCCACCACATGATTTAAGCAATGACTGCTTAATTTTCAAAGATAAAACCATAAATTTAATTTGGGTACTCTGAGAAACGTCTTCAAATTGACGATAAATCCTTTTATTTTGTACTTAATTTTCGCTAGACAAGCTGTCCAAATAGGGTACATCAGGTAAAATATTAACTAAATCCAATATGCAGACGCGATTTTCCGCCATTGACGCTATAATGAGAATGGTGCAGGAAAATCGGCAGCATGAAAACAAAACTGTCCGCTAGGTTATTTAGGCACCCAGTCAAAACTGGTAGGAACAGGTTGCCCATTCCCCTATAATTACGCATATTCTCGGGTTTATCCAGTTCCCTAAAGCTTTTTTCCATGTTATCTACTTACCAAATTCCTTTCCCCGACAGATACGCATTTCTACTACCGTAAATTTAATCCAATAAAACAAAAAATCATAAATCTACTTAATATTTAAAATGATTATTGGTAACTGAAAAAAAAATGTGTTGCTATTTTATGACGTGCTGTAATTTACAGTCTAATTTGACAGGTGTGGAACCTAATTCCCCCTAAGGTCATTCAGTTCACTGATGAAGCGTAAAAAAAATACATGTCTATTTCGTCATTAGAATATTTGACAAGGGTGATTAACCAATCAGGGCAACATTGTGCATGATCAAAAGGTCTGTCGGCACAGAGGCACACAAGGAGCAATAAAAATCGTCAGTACACAGTGTGACAAGAACATTTGGTGCAAATTAGGAATATTAAAATGGACAATGCGCAGTATTAGACATAAGTAGTAAGAACCAGCAATTGTGTGAATAGATTATGCAAATTAGATTTTTGAGCAGCCAATAAAAATGTTTTGCCTGCAGTTAATATTAGGCTACGATTACGATATGCGCAGCATCATATGTTGACAGACATGTTAATAATTTACCTTTCAAAAGAGTTGCTTATATTTTTGAAATGTGTACATCAATTATAACATATGTTCACAGCTTTAAATTTGAAAGTCAGAATCGAACTGCAAACATTTAATGATATGTACTATTAAGAACACGTTTTAGTAGGGTTTTAGTAAAGTTTTAGCCGTACGTGAGTCACGTACGACTAGCAAGGACACACTGTATTGGCTAGCCGTACGGCACTTTTTTTCAAAATTTTATGGAAGTCGAAAATGCATATGTTATTTTATGACTTTAAGCAATGATTTTAACCAAGAAACAGCATTAATTGTCTTCGGATGTTAACTTTTTAGAGATTCATCGCCTTGATCGCTATATATCGATCTTTGTCATCGCAAGATGTCGAGAAAAAAATAGCCTTTGGTTGCATTTACACCAGAGACATAGATAACATGTTATCTATGTCTCTGATTTACACCAATTGAAATAGTTTACAAAATTTTGATCATAATCCTTTTTTGTTTCATTAAGTTTAATTTTCGACACCTTTAATATGAAAAAAAAACAACAAACACTGAAAATGATTGTTGTAAGGTTCTTGATAATTGCGACAATTACCGACGGTACTGTGTAGAAGTTTGCCCATCAAGGAAAATTTGCATGTTCCTTGAAAGGCATACTAAAATTCTATTGTCAGTCCCTGGATAGGTTTTAATTAAGGCTAATTAATTGATTGACTGTGCTAATATGTTCGATATTTATCTACTGTTTTGAAAATTATATAATTATTTTTGCATCTCACCGGTTTTTTTCAATGTTCTTTTTATTAATTATTCCACTCCGATAATTTTAATTCGATCCATGTGCTTATAAAATTAACACAGATGATTTAATAATTCATCTTTCATACAAATAAAACAACAAATGATAAGCATGAAAATCAACAATTTTATAACGTTCGACTTCCATATATAATTTTGAAAAGTGCCGTACGGCTAGACAATACAGTGCGTCCTGGCTAGTCGTACGTGACTCACGTACGGCTAGAACTTTTGGCTAGCCGAACGTTTCTTTATTCTTTATTATTAATTTTTTTTTTTGATATTGTTACCTATTTTGCACCATAAAAAAATCTCCTCTACACCTCTTGTGGAAATTAAATTGTCTGATCAATACTTTATTATATTAATATTTCCTTACGATTCAACTAGATTTATCATGAATCTAAAGATGTGGGGAAATGACATCACGCACACCTGTTTTCATACGGCCAATACACAAACATGGCCGCGCTTACTGATTTGTAGAAATCGGTGATTTGGCGATTTAAATTTTGTTATCATTCGTTTAAAATTATTATTTGGCAGCAGAAAATTTGCAGATTTATTATTTATAGTATTCTTTTTCAGAAATCAAGTTTTTATTCTAACCTTGTCTTTCCCTTTAAGAAATATAATGTGATATAAATTGAAAATCGTATTTTTATGCTTTTCTTAGCCTGATTTGAGTGAAAAGCGTTTAAGCGCTATTCATTTTGGGTCATTTTTTACAATTTGAATATTTTTTCTGGAAAAATGAAGTGCGCGAATGATCTGAAATTTTGCACAAAGATTTGTGGTCTAAACCTACATCAAATGGTACATTTATCTGGTAAAACTATGTTCAGTCCAATCATGTAAAAAAAACCAGTGGAGTCCCTTTAAGATAGACGCTTATAAAAATATGAAACGTCTTAAACAGTAAGGCCGCTATTCCATTTATACGTGATCAGTGGTCCGCGTCAGTGATCCGTGTCCGGGCATGTCCGTGGGTATTATTCCATAGGTACGTTATTTTCTATATACTTTTAATTGAAGTATAGCGAACAGAGGATAATTATTTGTAGAATATGATATAATTTCATTCTAATACCAAAAACAGTTGTAACATCAAAGAATTAGGTAACAAACATTGAATATCAGTTAGGTTTTCAAATAACATCTCTTTAGCAACCGATGACCAGATGTTGTTTTTTTTAATCTGTCATTGCTGCATCATAAACTTATATGTTCTCCTACACTATTTTGGTGACTTCTTTAGTATTTTCTTTCGAAATCGATAAAGTATTTAATTTCGTTCGAGGCATTTTGTAGGGATGAGACATGTCAGTGACTGTCCGCGTCCGTAAAAAATCGCTCATCCTGCGAAACGTCGCGGATGCCGTCGCGGAAGCGGATGGTAAACGGACAAAAGGAATAGATTCAACGTATTCTTTGATTAGCGAATCGGTAACGGATGCGGATGACGGACGCGGACCACTGATCACGTATAAATGGAATAGCGGCCTAACAGATCTACATCTTTCGTCTCTCCTTTTCATCTGTCGAGACCGTTTATGTTTTCTTATTGTCTTATTACATAGCGTATTATTAACTTTAAAACGTATTTCCGAGTAAAAGCAAATAAAGAAGTTTATTACTGATTTGATTACAGGTAAGTATTTACCTTTCTGGGCCGCTGTTCGACTCTGCTCATCAAGGCTTGGATTAAAACTCTAAAATACAAAGTCGAAAACTGATTTCAAATAAAACTTTTGTTCAACTTCAAAAATATAACATTTTAATCGTCCGTTTTTACTCCACTACTATCATTTATTTAATATTTAAAACTTAAGTACTGGTATAATGAATGGCACTAATTAGTAGATTACAGTAAATTACAGTTATAGTAAATTAAATGTGTAACAAAATTCATTCGACAAAGGTATTATACTACTTCATTTATTGATTTTAGACATTTTAATTTCATGTGTTGGGGCAACACACTAATTACCTATTCCGTTATATACCATTCAACAAGCTTGAATGATTAAATCTCCCCTTTCACCCACCGAAATGCACTCTAAGACGTTTAAAATTCATCTTTTCACATCGATTAACATACGCAAATTCATGAAAAATGTAAAAATCGGCTAAAAAATGCGATATTTTTATACTATCTGAAGTGTCTAGAGCTTCAGCACTGTAGTGAGTTAAATGGATTTTGTAATACTGATACTTGACAACCACTTTAGATATATACTGTATGATCACTGTTGATAAAGTATAATATTTCCTCACCTGTCTTCAATTATGCAATCATCTTACTTAATTAAACATGCAACTATTTGGATCTATTTGACACTTTTTTCAACATAAATTGTTGAGCTAGTTATCTCAATGTATCCTTTTTGCTATAAACACAAACCAGTGCCGCTTTTGCGACCCCTTAAAGATAGTATTGCGCGACCGTGTATATATTTTAACGTGACATCTTTTGCATTACATAAAGATAGCGTAAAAAGTGCAAAATGCTAGCGTTAAGCTATAGACGCGTCAATAAAAAGTTAACCCTTTTCACTTTAAACAGTCTTCCCGTCTGTTACGACAGTCGGGGTTTGATACTTTGTCTTGCATATTTCATATAAATCATTTTTTGAAAGAAATAACAAAAGCTTATTGGTTCATCTATCAGTTTTTCTTATAGAAGCGTATGAACTTTAGTCATACGGCAAAATGACGTCATCCTAAGAACGCAATTGATTCATAAGAAGGCGTGCGGGATACGTCATTTAATACACGCGACTAATCATACGCGGGTGTGAGAGGGGTGTAAGACAGATTTACCTAGCACCGATGTAAACAGTTGATAATCTGTTCCGATAATCAAAAAAAAGATATATATATATAATTATAATTAATTAACATTTGTATCATTTTGTCTTCATGAAAGCGACCCATTGTTTTACCTTCTTCCCGATTATTGCTGTCACTGTATACAAAAATGGGTTAAGAGCAGAGTTTATTGGTAAAATGAAAACAGCTGACCATGCATAAACATCACTTGGAATCAGAAATCCGTTCAAGGCTAAAATACCTGAAAAAGGAATAGGTGAACTTTTGACATTGTTGTATTAGATTCAATAGCGCACTTAATTCACTATATTATTTATTTTCATAGAATATTAAATCGTTTACATGTATACATTTCTAAACAAAAAGGAATATTTCTGAACGAATTATTGAATAATAACATACTTAACATTTTTAAGAAAAAAATAATGCTTATACACCCGGAGCTGCATACATCGTGCCGAATCGTTTAAGTTAGACGTGCGTAATCCAGTTTAATTGATAAATCGTAATGCAGACAATACAAACACATATACCCATATGAGATCTTACCCATCACACCTATCGGAAACCAACACAGGAAATCAGTTGTTGCAACCAGTATAAGATTTCTTGCAACTTTTAAGTCACGTCTTCTTGATATTTGTGTCTTCTTCAAAGCTGATGTTGATCGTCGAAGTTCAGTGAATATTGAGATTTGTCCTACGGCAACAAGAATGAAAGTACAAAAATTCAGGCCGACAAAAATTGACACAGAATAAATCCACCCTGGATGTTTATCTCGTGTTAAAGGCAATGCAATACAAACCCCTGTTTTAGAGTAGAATTTGTTTTGGAAATGACTTGTGTAAAGAATTGGAATGACCGATAGGATGATGGAAATGAACCAACACAGTGCACAAGAGATATAGGCCTTCATAGGTCCAAACCTCACAGTTCCAAACGGAAACTTGATCACTAAAAGTCTATCTAAAGTTATCAAGCAAAGAAAGAGGACGCTAGCCTCAGATGAAATTGTAGACAAAACTCCGGCAGTATTACACCAATTACTGTTTCTCCATTCATCGTCCACAAAAATATATCTGCAAATAAATGGGAATAAAATATTTGAATTTTAGACAAAAAAAAACGCATTTTCATTATGTAACAAAAAGTCTTCTTCTATTAGATTAATTAACTGATTTTATTCTTTTATCATTACCTCTTTCCTTTGGCATGTAAAGGTAATCGAAACATATTTTATTAAAAATAAAAAAGAGAATTAATCATCTTAAACGGTTTTAAATTCTTCCTTGAAAATGTATATAATTCGAATCATATTATAAAATTATATGTAAACAAATTTTATTTTATATGTACTCGTTTGTGTGATAAAAAGCATAAAAAGATATTGTTATGAATAAAACATAAATAAATATTTAGCTTCAGTCGTAAAATTTATACAACAGCAACTATGAAGGTACAGTGTACAATATATATTCTTTTGGTAGACTTATTCGTGTATTTGTACTAATTGTATCTAAAAAAATGAGAAAAAAATGATAACTGTTAAATGCAACATAACACGGCAGATTTGTAAACATCATTTAGGACTAAGCACCTGTTGTTTACAAGAGAAAATTCGTTTGATTTTGATAATCAATTAAAATTATTTTAATGTTCCTGAACGGTAAACAGTCAGTACGTGAAGGATCTTTTACCGGCTGGCGGTACAAACCAGACTATATAGCTCGAGGGTTAATGTTTTTTCCAGCACCGGTATAAACACTTGATAATCATGTCTGATATGCAAGAATGATAAATCAGTACTTGTTACTTAAAAAGTGAAACAGTTATTAATCATTACCTGTTTTTGTATAGAAAATAACTCATTGATCAATACCTGTTTCTATAAAGTGAATCAGCAACTGCTATCATGATGAGGTAAACACCCATCAGAAAATCTGCAACTGCAAGGTTAGTTACAAATATGCCATAACCTAATTTTAGCCTTTCACGATCGTACACAAGACGGTAGATAATTGACGATAGGTTTCCTAACAATGAAGCCAACCCAACTATCCAAAGGACTGCTTGAAGTACAGAGTTTCTCATCAGGTCTTCACATGAGGAAAACTCATTCTTCAATGGTTTGCAGTCTTCTTCAGGGAGATAACAAGGTCGGATACAGCAAAATTTAAATGCAGGTGTATGAAGCTCACGAAGTGATGTGACGCCGTTAAATATAAATTTTCCGAATTTTATAACTTTATTGCCTTCAAAGTTAATTTTATGAACAAGCGAGTTGTTGAACGCAAAATCTTCAATTTCTTCTATTTTGTTGAAAGAAATGTCGATACTGTCCAACTGCAAGCCAGAGAAGGTAAGTGAACTTATTTTTTTCAGATTTGTGCCGGAAATTTTTAAGCTTCTTACTGATTCCAAACCTTGAAAAGCAGTTGATGAAATCTTTGTTAATTCTATATTTTTGTCCAGATTCAAATAGGTTAGATAGTAAAGCTTGCTAAATACCATATCGGGTAATCGCTGTATTCTATTGTTGCTAAGATCTAACGATAACAAGTTTATCAAGTCAAAGAAAGCCCTTTCCTCAATATAATGAATGTCACATGATGAAATATTAAGTCGAAACATAAAAGGAAAACTTAAATTGTGTTTAGGTATTATTTTAATTTTTGAATTTTTACTTAGATCAAGACTTCTAGCCTGTACAGTCAACGAAGAAATATCAGACATTGATATGTCGGCTGCATGACAATTGATTACATCACCCGTACATTTACATTTCTCCGGACATACAGAATCACAAAGTCGTTCATCATCACCATTTCTGCAATGAATGACATCATCACATACTTGTTCAAATGGTATACATTGCTTACTAGATGAACATCTGTACTTTCCATCACATGGTACGATTGTTGCCTCTGAAACGGAAATATAAAGAACATATATCCTCACACATGATTTTTAAAACAAATCGTCATCAAATATTACATTATCGCTGTTGACACGGTTATATCCTAGTTTTCTTGGTTTTCCTCAGTTGTTAAATTTAGGATACTTTTTCAGCATCAAACATGCAAGAATACTAATGCAAATATAATGTAGCCTTTCAAGCTTTTCCTGCGTAAATTTAGAGTCTAAAACATATTCAAACAGGTAATAAAACAAACATAAATTTGATCGATAAAAATGAATAGAAAAACGATGTAATCATGTAAACGAACTTAAAAAAATGAACCGTCTCGACAAAATAAAATATGACATAGGAAAGAATAAATTGTTGTCAAGTCATAAATGTACATTTGGTATTATATCTATAATCGACGAGAAAAAAACACACGAGTCAAGCCGACAATGCTGTTACCTGAACATATTTCTGGAAATCGTCTAAAACCAATCAAAAATAGAGAACTCCATTTACTGATATGTATATCCTTTACAAATTTGTATCTGTTATCTTTATATACTGAAGAACTGAAATCTTTTATCACCCGATATATTGAAAACGATGGCTCTGAAATATTGGATAATACTAAATTAGCGACAACAGATGATTCAATACTGTTTTCCAGTACAATAATCGCTCTTTTTTCTAGCTTGGTAAACTTCAGTTGTTTAAGAAAGTCTCTTGCCATTGTTTTAAACTTGCATCCAGTTTCCACTGTTTCCTGTTCTCGGGTAACACGTTCTACCTTTATTTCCAATAACCTGTACTCAATATCGAACTTTATTTTGCTATGAAGGATCTTAAAATAAAACAATTTAACGGTGTTATTCTCACTGTTTGTAAAAAATTGTTTTGCTAAATACATTGCTGCTTCCCTGCTCTCAGAGTCTTCATCTTCCACAAATAAGATTACTTCTCTATCCGAGTCCTCACAAGCTGAAATTAGAAATCAAATCAAACCACTAAATGTGCTGAATATGTTTGGGTCATAAAGAAACATTTTTTTGTAATCTTGACTGAATAGTCATTTTTCCTCAGTCTTTAACCCTGTTTATTTATTATCAAAAATGTTAATATTTGACACCAACATCAAAACGAAAACCCTAAGTTACATATACACCTGAATTAAATAATTTGCTGAATTTACTTGATACTGTGTACGACCATATTGAGTAAAGACTAATTAGAATTTTTGCTTTTATATAGGTATTAATATATATGCCACAATTTGTCGATTGATGCACAATATTTAAATAAATTTTAGTAAAAAATCACCGGCCTTCAATATCTAATTAAACGCCGTAGGCAGCATGTTTTCGTAGGTAATTCGTGTCAACATATGACTTCATGTAACGGAAATAAAAGCAAAAAACAACATTTAGAATGTCACATTTGATATGCATAAAGGTATCAATAATACTTATTAAAACTATTATACCCTATTTACTTTAAGAAGGAATTTAAAATTGACATAATTTCACGAAAAATTAGGTCAGCTGATACGACCAGGTCGCACGATTCTTTACAAACTACATTTTTTTGTACTTCAGACTTATTTTTGCTGCCTTACACGACCCTTATTACAAGCTTTGGATATTTCTATTATTTATTTCAATAGACCCCGGCGTTTTGACGCGTAGCTCCTCCATACACCCTGTCAACATTGAAGATACATGCACATGTTGTGTAGTTTACCTCGTGATCTGTCTCGACTAATTTATTTACTTGCATATACATTATTTACAAGTAAACATAATTGAAACAAGAAAATCGAGGTGCAATTTGTTTAAATCATCTCATATTGTAGACTGAAAATTAAGGGTTTGTTATTCTTTTTTCTGCATAATATAATTAATCCTTTATCAATTAGAGCTATTTATTATCTTAGAATGGTAGGCAAAACATGCGCCTGCTAATTTATGCAGACAGACAATGCTGTATTTGAAGTTAGAGAAGATAAGATATTAGTATTAATGTAGCCATGATAGAAATATTTGCTTGGGTTGTCGAGTTAGTGGTCGAAAACGTTTTGATATAAAGTGAATGTGACATTGGCCTTGACCCCTAAAGTAATATGGTTGATTGACGGCCCAAGACAAATACACCTGTCAAGTTTTAGGGCGAAAGGTCCACAGGTTGTTGAATTATAGATAGGAAACTGTTTTATAGACAAGATGAATGTGACATAAGCCTTTTACCCCTTGAATCAAAAATAATAAAGTTCTTCTGACTGTCAAGACCAATGCACCTAAGATCTGTTCGGTAAAGGGTCCATTGGTTGTTGAGTTATTGTTCAAAAACTGTTTTGTTGTAAAAGGTTGTTCATGTGATCCTGACTTTTGACCTAGTGAACCCAAAATCAATAGGGATCATCTGCTTTCCAGTACCATACTCTTTCTTTAACTTCCAAAGGCCATCTATTTATAATAATACCATAAACATGATCATTTCAAAAATATATATATACATTATGTAAATTAATAATTATGATTTTTCTTCAAAGACTGTTTCAAAACTTTTTATATTTTTATACCCATACAATGGAAATCGTCCTAGCTCGCCATAAACAGTCGGATTTACAGTTTGCTGTTACAAATCTGGAGCTTTATGGGGGCATTAAATGTCGGCGTCATAATTTAACATTGGTAATTCCATAGCATCAAACAATTTGATCCATTCAGATATATCCATTGGTACTTAATCAAACAGAACAGGGCATTTAATAAATATATCGCTTTGTCTGACTGCTTGATTAGGCTTTCTGTATCTCTCACTCAATTTGGAGGAAGCCTTGGCCTCCACAGTCCTGACTTAAGATCTGACGGAGAAGTACTAGTTGAATTAAGACGTTTTCCCTTATGATTTCCAGATAAATATAGTGTTATAAAGTACTTGTACAGAAATATGAAATATCATCAAATCTGTTTTAAATAAAATGGTGTTATTAAATGATTCCAATAATATATTTTTTAAAGCAGATCATTTGTGTATAATATTTAGGGTCATTCTTGTGTGCTGCACTCCTTAATGAGATCTAACTACCTATGAAGTTTCAAGTTGTACCTGCGATATTATTTTAGAAAAGCCCGGACGAAAATAATGAAAAATAACAAAGGACAATAACTGTAAAGGGTGCAGTTATCATTCTTGTGCACAGCATTCCTCCTCAAAAAGATTTATCCACCTATGACATAAAACGATTTTTTAAGTTATCCTAAACTCAGGGAAAAAAGTATGAAAAATAACAAAGGGCAATAACTCAAACGATATGAAGGGTAGAGTTATAATTATTAAGCACTGCATTATTCCCGAGTGAGATCTATCGACCTATAAAGTTTCATGTTGATATCTCAAAGGCTTCTTCGGTTATGCTCTGGACAAAATACTTAATGAGTTTAGGTCTGGACAAAAATAAGCATGAAAAATAACAAAGGGCAATAACTGAAAAAATATGCATTGTAGAGTTATCATTCTTGAGCACTGCACTCCTCCTTAATATTATCTATCCATCTATGACGTTTCAAGTTGATACTTCTAACACTGTCTGAAATAAGCTCCGGACAAAAAGTATTAAAAATAACAAAGGGCAATAACTCAAAAATTATAAAGGCTAGATTTATCATTTTTGCGCACAGCAATCCTCCACAATAAGATCCATCCACCTTTGAAGTTTCATGTTCACATCACAAAGATTTTTTGAGTTATGCTCCTCTGAGTTGAAAAATTAAGTTTAAAAAATAACAAAGGGCAATAACTTAAAAATTATGAAACGTAGAGTTATCATTCTTGTGAGTAAGATCTACCCACCTATGAAGTTCCATGTTGATATCTCAAAGGCTTTTTGAGTAATGCTCTTGACAATAATTAAGTTTGAAAATATAACAAAGGGTAATAACTGAAAAATATTGATGGTAGAGTTATCATTCTTGTGCACTGCCTTTATATGATCTATTCACCTATGACGTTTTAAGTCTCTTTAAGATATACTCCGGACAAACATGTGGGACGGACGTTCTAACGGGACAATAATAATGTGGCTACTCTATTGTTCTCTCTATCGTTCTTTTTAGCCACACAAAAGAAAATAGCCACATAAAAGTATTACGTAATGAATGACATCAAAGAGAAAAAACAGTTAGCTATTGTCCCTCTAGCCACATTATAACTGTCCTGTGAGAGCAGAAGGACGGACGGATGGATGGATGGACGGACGTACGGATGTTCTAACAGGACTGTAATGATGTGGCTACGCTATTGTTCTCTCACACAAAAGAATATAGCCACATAAAAGCATTACGGAATGAATGACAACAAAGAGAAATAACAGTCATCTATTTTCCCATTAGCCACATATATACTGTCACGTGAGAGCGGACGGACGGAAGAACGGACGTTCTAACGGGACATTAATAATGTTGCTTTTCTATTGTTCTTTACAAATTATACATTTCGATAACTTACTACAGTCTTGTTCATCTTCTCCTCCAGGACATTCATTCTGTCCGTCACAAAGAAATCGTTGTTCAATACAATAACTTCCTGGACATTTGACTGTATTTGCTGGACAAGTGAAATTTTCTGAAAATCAAATTGTTTTCAATGAAACGGGCAATATTGTGCAATTCATTCTTAAGTAGTGAATGACTGAAAAGTATTTGTGATGACATTCTGTGTTTCGTTGTTCAACCAGAAATATTTAAAACAACAAAGAATTTGAGTATGACATGTTATGTTATGTTATGTTAATTCTTCTGTATCCTCCATCAACAAAATTTGATATTCAATTGAAATATATGGTTCCAATTATAAACATCGATCAATTAAACTATTTACAATTTACATCAGGCATCTTTAAAAATATGTAAACAGCAAGAACAAGTTGTCTTTTAACAGATGTATACAAGAGCCGGTTTAACCGGGTGATGCTCCCCGAATAGGTTTTGGACACAGGCAGGTATACCTCTTGAAGTGTCAATGTTATGTCATAGACAAAGTTCAAAGTTTAAAAACAACCCAAATCACCATACTAAGTTTGAAGTTCCTAGGCCTAAGCGTTATAGTTATTGATCGGAAACCATTTTTACTTACACAGTCAATGTGACCTTGACTTTTGACCCCTTGACCCCAAAATCAATAGGGGTCATTTGCTGGTCATGACCAATCACCATACCAAGTGTGCAGTTCCTAGGCCTAAGCGTTTTAGTTATTGATCGCAAACCGATTTTATTACAAGGTCAATGTGACCTTGACCTTTGATCCCTTGACCCCAAAATCAATAAGGGTCATCTGCTGGTCATGACCAATCACCATACCAAGTTTGAAGTTCCTAGGCCTAAGCGTTCTTTAGTTATTGATCGGAAACCGATTTACCTACAAGGTCAATGTGACCTTGACCTTTGACCCCTTGACCACAAAATCAATAGGGGTCATTTGCTGGTCATGACCAATCACCATACTAAGTTTGAAGTTCTTAGGCCTAAGTGTTCTTTAGTTATTGATCGGAAACTGAATTCGGGACGTACGGACGGACGGACTGATAGATGGCCGGACAACCCGACGACCAAATGCTCCCCCGAAATTTTTCGGGGAGCATAAAAAAGAACAACAAAAATATAAATTTATTTCTAGTAAGTATTGACAGCTATACCGTAAAATCGATCTATATAACCGTTGTCTTGCATTTGAGAAAATACATTTGAAATGAGGGTGATAAACTTTCAAACATCTTGTGTAATTTGTTTCGCGTCATTTGTTTTTCATTATTTAAAAAGCCATATCTTAAATTCAGCACGCCTTCCGATGGTATGGTAGAATGGAAGTTTTTCATAATAAAATTCTAATTTAACGGTAAATATGGAATTTATTTTAAGTTATGTTCAAATGAAAATGCATCGTTACTGACCTCTTCATTCAACAATAAAAAGTTGACCAAAATCTTCAGTAAAACGTGTTTTACTTTGCAAAAGCTACTGTATTACTAACACAATTACCGATATAAATATTTCAATTGCGTCGATTGAAATCATGAAAAGAATATTTTTCTACGTTTTAAATAGATAATTGAAATGGTGTGCACTGATACAGATCTTTTGATATTTTATTGACATTTTATCTTGTAAATGAGGTTTAAAGTTTTGATTTATCATCGAATTTCCTTATTTATTAGAAATATTTGTGTTTCTAACTTTCAGCCATATTTTAGCTTTTAATATCTTGAATTTATCACGTAGGTCATCTCAAATGATCAAATGGTTTGTTAATCATTTAAACATAGACAGATACTTTATAAGGAATATATTAGCCTATTTAAAGAATATAAGAAAAGTATTTTCCTATGAATTCAGTATAAGCAATTGTGATAGGTATTCGGAGTCATATGGTACCGGCCTTTGTTAAGTCGTGATGTACGCCTTAAGGCAAGTTTGAAGTTCTGGTCATTGCTGGACTAGCTCTGAAATTGGATAGTCTTGGGATGATACTTGCTTTAGACGTTCCTATGATGTCCATTTTACAGATACCGTTTCCATGTTGAATTTAAATGGACACGAGATGAGTAAGTATTTAACTGATTTTCTTTTGGTGTTTCAAGATGTTATTATAGTCTCTAACAGTTCAAGTTAAGGAATTGCTTTGTTTAATGTAAATTGTCTATTACGTTGATAAATGATTATAAAAACACATTAGACTTTTGTAATATGAAATATGTGTCGAGAGAATATAATTTATTGTCACAAAAGTGATGGAAAAACACCAGGTTGCGGTGTTAATGTGAAGGCTAGTATAGCCCTTAAGATTTTTTTCAACCTAACTTTAAATCGATATCATTTAATGATAATAAAATCATTACTGTCATACCTTATAAAATGTAACCAATAAATTTTCAGCGTTTATACCACGTGATATTGGTTTAAACATATTTTTTTAGCTCGATTGCGACTGATATAAATCACTTTCGATTCCGCTTACTAGAACCAACCAATGCTGGTGTCATATGAAGAATCATGGTCGTATTTAATGCACATAATACCTCATATAGCCTCGTTTTACCTTAAAGAGTTCTACTTGTATATCAAATGCAAATCATACTATCATCTAGCCTCCTCTTCACTATAAGTGAAAAATTAAGCACGATCATTGCAGAACCAACACGTTTGTGAGATCTCGCGAGGCTTCAAAGTGTTTTGGAAGAAAAATAGGCAAAGTTGTTTGCTTTGTTGCTATTTTAATTCTAACAATGTTACATAATGATAAAAGACGATTTTCTTCATCCATTAAATTGCATTTAATTTAATATACACAAAGCGAAGTCACACACATGTTTTTTTATATATATTTTGGTTTAATCTGGTAACGGGTCTAATGACTTTAATGCCTTATCAACAAAATGTAAAAAGAGCCTATAAAAGATTCGACAGCCAAAACTACATCCCCACAGCACTATCCCAATCATCCCAAAAGTAAAATACAGAACATTATACTAGCTTACGGAACGTCGGTGGTTCTACTCAGGTGCCCGTTCGTGCCTGAAATGATGCACGGAAGGGCACCTGAGGTCTTCCTCCACCAGTAAAGATTGAACGTCGCCATATGACCTATAATGTGTCGTTATGACGTAAACCCCAATCAAACAAACAAACAAACAGAACTTTATAACATAAGTCTTCAAAACGATCTTTTTCATAATACTTAAAAGTGAATTGCTTGATAGATAGAAAAATTAGTATTATAAATAAGTAAAACACCAACATGATCATGTAGAAACATTTAAAAGTAAAACCAAATGACCATAACAAAAGTACTCGATGTCCTAAAGGAAGACAGAGCAACAAGAATATCACCTACAAAGGTCTGACGAAGCAAGGCAGAAGACGAACATTAAGACAATTCAGTCCCAAAAGACTTTAAGAACTGTGCATCATAGAGTCTCCTACTTGGTCCGTCAGATGTAATCAAAAGAGGAAAGCGTAGTGTCCGACTGTAAAAGGGTTGAACACTAAGCATGCACTATGTCTTAAAATAGTAGGGTCATAACCACTTTTAATAAAATGTTTTATTATTTAAGTAAAAAACAGCAGAAAAATTACCCTGACCCAAAATCTTACGATGTTTGTAAATCACATCGCCCTTAAAAACCAGGCTGGCTAATCCCTTGTCGCAGAAGAGGGTTTAAATCACTATTGAATTTTAAAATTAAATCAAAATTACGATTGTAAAATTTTGTAAAATATGTCCGTAATTTATGATAGCGGCCTGTTTAAGAATCTTGCTGGTAATAAAAATATTCTGCCCGTTGAAATCCTTTACGTTGCTACAAGATTTAGCGAATCTAATTAACTGAGAAACATATACCCCGTGAGATGTTGCATTGGGTACGTCTTCATCTAAATGTGGATAATTAACTATAAAAAAGTTAGAGTCATGTCTTTTATCATAGATTTTCGTGTGAATAGAATTGTTGTTGATGGTAATTTGAAGATCCAAAAAATATGTAGTAAAATTTCAAGAGTTCGTTTTATTAAGTTGTAGTTCATGGGGATAAATGTCAGACACCATTTGATCAAAATAAGAATTATCTTAATTAAATATCATCAAGGTATCTGTAAGTATTATTAAATGCGACTATAACATCTTGTTGTTTATCTTCAGAGAGGCTCAATATAAAGTTTCTTTCATAGCAGTAGAAAAACAAATCGGCGACCAGGGGTTCACAATAAGTACCCATAGTGAAAATTAACGACTCAACTCTTGACAATGTAGAATCACAAAAACTGCTCGGTATTTATGTTGAAAATACACTCAATTGGCATTGTCAGGTAAATGATGTGTGTAAAAAATTGAACTCTAAAGTTAATTTATTTAGGCGTATAAAGTACTTTTTAAGTAAGGAATCTCGCATGCTTTTTTATAATGCATACCTTCTTCCTATTTTTGATTATTGTTGTAATATATGGGGAAAAAGTAAACAAAAAATATATATGCCAAATATACAAAATACAAACACGAATTTGCAAAATTATTCTAGACCTTCCAATGAGAAACCAATCAGAAAATTTATACAAAAGATTAAAAATATTGCCTTTCAAGAAAAGATGTATTTTTCACACCGGTGTCCAAGTATATAAGGCACTGAATAATATGTCCCCTCAATATATCCGAGACTTACTTACCATAATAATCAAAAGTATAATTTAAGATCGATATCTCACGGAAATTTAATTTCGTCCTACAAACCACGTACTAATTATTTTAATGACACATTTCAATTTAATGCCATTGTTATTTGGAATTCCATACCACTGACTATAAGAAGAAAAACAAAATTGTCAATATTAAAGAATAGTTTCAAGAAATACTTATTCAATAAACTTTAGCACGGTCCGTATGTATTATATATGCGAGATACGATCTTTATATTCATACATGTGTTTTTTTATTATTATGTTTTCTAATAATGGGTGTCTGTCTTAGTTTCAAGTTTTTTTTGACTGTGTTAATTTTGTAAGTTAATTTTACTTTTTAAATTGCAGATTAAAATGATGCACTGATGAAAGTATTATGTTTAATGATAAATAAAATGAATTGTATGAATGTTCAGTATATGTGTTAATATATGTTAAAATTGTGATAACCATTTGATCATTTCTTTTACATGTTATATTTTCTTTGATTGATATGTGTTTTTTGTGTGTGTGTTTTTAATTTTTTTTTTAGAAGGCCGCATTGTAAATAAGATGTTGCAACCTATATATGTCTTAATGTGTTACCTTCGGTAAATAAAGTTATTATTATTATTATTATTATTATTATTATAATAGGAATTCCAATGATCTGTTTAAAAAGGGTACTACCAAACCTGACATAAATGTTGTCTAAGAGAAAAGAGAGTGCTCTACAAACTTCGTCACAGGTCCACATAGTATAATGTTTAACAATACCGTTACTAAAAAAAGCTTTGCTATAATTACATGCTAGAAAGGTAACTTTTTCCCGTGCAAAAGTTTTCTGAATTAGGGAAATTAGTTTATCATTGATTAATCTAAGTAGCAAAGTTGTATAAAGTGTAGAAAAATCGATTGTACTGACAGTTGAAGCTTGAAAGTTCTTAATTTTGAATGTATCCAAGATTTGACCAGAATTTTTAATAGACCAAAAGAGATCTTAGCCTGGGTTTTCATAGACTTTTTATCACAATATCTAATTACTTTAATGTCAGTGCTTTAATGGCAGTCAAACAAGACGTCAATAAAATATAAAGTTTACTTGTAGTGCAAGATGTAGAATTAGCAATGAATCTGGCTTTGTAAGGTTTTTTATGTAATTTAGGAATCGAATACATAATAGTGAAATAGAGAAAAACAGGATCCTTAGAAAAAGTCCAACACAACAACATTTAAAATGTTGCAGTCTCGGTTTGATTGAGTCTGTTCATGGACGGTACTGGAAAGTGCAAGTTACCGTCCACGCCCCCCAGCACAGGCTTAAGCAGAATTCTACATTAAACACGAAAATGGTAAAAAATTTGAATTTAGAAACATTCGCAGATGTGTTCATACTGTGGTTATCATGGAACCTTCAATGTGACACAGTAGTGCCATTCCATGAAAAGCGGCGTATGGTCCCCAAGTAAAAGAATGCTTTTGCCCTAAACGAGTAAACAATGGGCTGAACTAAATAAAAAGGAATTTTGAAAGGGGATCTGAGGTTATGAAGCCTGCATATCACAGATAAGACGTCAAAAGAGAAATGTAAAAAGCAGGCAACATATTATGATTATACAGTATTCAAGTAGGAATACTGGAACCACCCAAGTTGAAAATGGCCAAATAGAAGAAACTAAAAATACCACATAACATGTATACACAGCAATAATGTCGTGCTGAACGATCTTCAAGGATCGAAAATACAACAATGTAATATAGTTTGAGTTCTTTTTCATTTATTTGGACTTTAAGATAGGATATTAGTAATATTATTGTTTATACAGGCAGAGGTTTTAGAATACGCATTAGTACTATTTAGTTCCTTATGCAAAACGTTAACGTAATGGATTCGTCATACACTTATAATATTATTACCCGCCTTGTCCGCTGGCACCACAACAAATTTTGAATGAAAAGCTAGAATATCCTTGTTAAGATGTCTTAAAGTAAGTCTTGGTTAAAGTGGCAAAAGCTATTCATTTCCACGATAAAAATTAATACGTGAATTAATAATTTTAAAGATGTTACGATTCCATGTAACTAGAGCATTACTATCCGCATTTCACGGCGACACCATTTGACCGAGAAATCCTCAATATATTCAGCAATCTGACTAAGTCGGTAAACAGGCAGTGGATAAGCGACAGACCTGAAATCGTATCCCACAGTTTGGGACCAAGTGTTTATGCTGCATGCAAAATATCAAGAGGCTGTGATAAGTAGTTGCTGAGAAAAACTGTAACGGAAATATTTTCTCCGACTGTCCGCCCATACGCCAGCCCGCCGCCAGACATTTACCGTTTTATAGCCCGGAATCGCACCTGTACAACCCGGCTGTGTTATGACAATTCAGTCATCGATCGATGTGTTTTGAAAATGCAAAAAAGTTCCCCTTTAAATGGAGACAATGTGTTCGACACAGAATTAAATGCACATTTTTACAAAGTTTTATTCATTTGTGATATGTTTTTATCATCATTCATGTAAAATTCGGATACAATAAAATCATAGTTTGATCATTGTCCTGTCTTATGAAAGGAATGTAATCAAATTGATTATATAACTTATCAAGTAGTAAGAAGTAATTGATAAAGCTTTTGAAAAACATTGATACTTTACATGTTAAGTCACACAAAATAAGTAGCTGTAAAACATAAATACTTTACATGTCAAGTCACACAAAATACGCTAATAACTTAGATAATTATATTCTTTACCGCAATGTTGTAAATGGTCTCCAGATCTGCATCCAGTCATGTAACCACTGGCATCTACGGCATATATACACATCATCGACTGTGGTATGGCTTTGTCGTCTCTTTTACAATAAAAGAACTCACCGGTCGCATTGAACTCTAAACAATCAAATACCAGTCTTTTCTAAATATTTGCTAAACGTATTTAACAACTAAATTTAAAGCAACACAATTTAGAATCAATTGTGACACAGTGATTGTTAAAAGAATTTTATACGCATATTATGGAAAATTAATAGACACAACATATTTTGAAGGTTTGTTATAATGTTTATGTTTGAATTTTATACTGGACCGAAGTATAGTAAGATGTAGTTTGTCTTGAAAGGACACAGAATTATAAGTTTAAAAATCTGTTATTATAAGGTTCCATACCATACATGCAAATAAGTGGATAAACTGTGTATGCCGGTTCAGTCTGCCATGGCCAGTCATTTGTGACCTCACTTCCATCGCAATTTACCTTCTTGAGAATTTCAACTTGAATGCTGAAATTTTAGAATGTTACAATATCATTCTACATAAAAATTGCACGTTTTTGTTGTTCTTGTGTTCAGATAATTTCTTAAATCAGTCATTACATTTCTGATAAACGTTTAGAATGTGCATTCAATTTATCAGTGTTGGAGAAACGACAGTTTTCTTCATTCAATATTCATTGTACGGTATTTAAATTATCTTGTTTGTTTACTTTGCGGTACCTAAATTATGAATTTTGCTTATTTACTCTATCATCGTTTTGTCGGGCATTTGTGGTCACAGAATATTATATATTGATGCAAAGCAAAATACTTCATTTCAGTACTTTCATATATTATAACAAGACCCTTAAATGAATTATCCAACTCAAGGTTAGTTAAAAAAATAGCAGCATTACTATTGTACTTATAAATATGATATACATTAAAGATAGATTATAATTAATTTGGTAGAACTCCTTTAATAAACGTCTTCTGAAAACACACAGAGACAACACTATAGGTTAACAAACTTTGAATGCATACTGTCATTCAAAATAACAGTGTTTTGTGTTTGTTTGTTTGTTTGTTTGTTAGTTTGTTTGAAGAGATCGGATCAACTAAAAGAGTAACAGGGAGTGCTGAGCCCAAAGAGCAGTTTAGGCTTTTGCTCTTTTTCTTTATCAAATTAGTCTTATCAAATATGAAGTTCCTGGAGTTTGATTAATATATACAAAAGCAGTTAAAATATGAGTTTAACTTTGTAAACATAATACATTTGTCAAACTTAGAAATTAGAAGAAGTAATCTATTTTGACCAGAAATGTCAATTATATAAACTAAACAGATGAAAACATACTTATAATATGTGTATAGTTTACATTGATCTTATATTGATATAACAAAATTTTTGGTAAAGTCATTTTAACACCTACTTGTCTGTAGAAAAGTATGTATATACGTGTTCTCTGTATTGACAAAATGAATACCCAAATTCATTATTTAAATTGTCAACAGCTGTCGCCTCATGGAATCCTAGTTTGCTATCATATTTCTCCTGAAACAAGAATAAATCTTTTAAAAATTGTACTTAATTCATATGTATATTTTTCATTTCATGTTGTGTGTGTGATTTTTTATTCACCAATTCAGATGCGACAGGAAGAATATTTCATTACAATAAGTACGCTATGCATGTACCTACGAGTACATTAATCACATTTCAGAAATAGTTGTCGGAAAAATATGAACATTATTATGTCAACAATTGCCTATATGTTATTTTACAAAACAGTGTACAGCCATTCTTAAAATGCACTGCTGATTTTACTCCATTTTTTATATAGCACAAGAGGCAATGGCCAGTCAAACAAAATTGTTGTCTTAATCTGAAACTTACACAAGATCAGGTATATAGTCCCCTTTACAAAAATCCAAATCTTACAAAATGTTGCTTTCACAATGCTTCAAAATCCAAGATGGCGTCCAATATGGCCACCGGTTTTAAGCAAAACTGATATACTGTTTAAACATCTCTGAAGTAATTTATTTATATGGTTATAACACTTAAAATAACTTTTAATGGCTTTTGTCTTACAATTTTCAAAAAATCAAAGAAAAATGCCGATTTTTAGTATATGTTTTATATTGGGTTCCTAAATCTCACAAAAGATATTCTAAAAAGTTACTAAAATTCTTATATTATTTTTATTTTATAAAACTTAAGTGTATTATACATATTTATTGTAAGAAAATGTAAGAAAACACATAATATATACGTTTCATTAATGCTTAAAGTGGGTGGGGTAAATGCACCAAAAACTCAGAAAAAAAACAAAAAAATGCATTAGTACTTTAATTTTATTTATTTGTTTTTCTATTTATTTTTATGCGTTTTAATACATGTATTTCAATACAATTTTTATTGTTTTTTTTAAGATATTTTTGTCTTCTATAAGATATGATGGGTGGGGTACATCAAATAAAATGCCCATTTTTACATATTTGTTTAATACTGTGCGCCAGATCTAAGATAAGATATTTTAAAAAGTTACTAAAAATATTAAATATAAGTGTATAATACATGTTTATTAAAAAAAGGTCAGAAAACACATACTTCATATGTAACATTTATATTTAAAGTGGGTTGGGTAAATGAACCCAAATTTTAGGAAAAATGCATTAGTACATAAATTTCATTTATTTGTTTTTCTATTTTATTTTTGTGTGTTTTAATGAATTTATTCACTATTTCATAACATTTTGAATGGTTTTAAGATATTTTTGTCTTCCGTAACATATCGCTGGTGGGGTAAGTCAATGAAAAATGATCATTTTTTTACATAATTGTTTAATATTGCGTTAGAAGTTACTGAAATTCTTATATTTTTTCTACTTTATGAAACTTAAGTGTATCATATTTATACATCCAGCTATAAATATGTTTGCTTAAAAAGGAAAACTGCGCAATCATATCATTTGTACTGCATTTATATTATTTATAGTATAAGGACAATTATTACCAATCACTGTAATATAAGAAGTCCCAGTATGTTGTTTTATGTAGAAATAATATCTGGCAAACAGTAAAATGATGAATACTTTCAATAGTTTCAAAATCCTTAATAGTTAACATTAATTACCTTAAAACCTTAAATACCTTAATTAGAACCATCTTTTTACAACATTAATATGAAAATATTTCATTTTTATATCTTAACCTAGCTTTAAAGCTAACACAACTTAAAAATAATTTTACATCAGATATCACAGTCTCGTATATCATTTTCACTTACAAGAGCAAAAACAAAACACGAATAACAAAGACAATAACATTTTTATCATCATCCATTTCCCAAGTCAGTACTTATGATCAGCTCCTCATTTGTTTTCATCAATAACTCTATGATGTCAATAGTATCAACTTCTTTATTTTAAAGTACAGTTTATTTTGTTCATCATTATCATTTTCATCATCATAGTTGTCATTATTGTTGTGTTTATCTCATTTGTCATCATAATCATAATAATGTTAATAATTATCATCATCAACATCATCATCATCATCTTCTTCTTCTTTTTCATCATCATTGATTTTGTTATTGTTTCTGTCCTCATTATCATCATCGTCGTCGTCGTCTTCATCATCATCAGCCGTGTCTTCTTCTTCTGTTTATTCATCAATAACTGACGTAGGAATCTGATCATCACCAAACCACTTAATTTCATATAATGACCCACTTTTTAGCCAACCATGATCTTCCGGAGGTTCATTTTCAGTGATTTCTGCTCCTGCTTTTTTGGGTCAAAATTCGATTTTACATAATTAGCTCTCCTTAGTTTTTCTTTCAGACGAGTGAAGCTTTGCAAGGCGGCATTGAGCTAGAGTTTAAGCCTTTGATTTTGGTCAATTACATGAATCTGTGTCTGCATGATCCAGGAAATTTATACTTTCTTTCAAATAAATGGAATCGTGCTGCATTTACACTATTAGTTATCATTAATTCATAGAGTCTACATGTTAAGGATTCAAGGACATCTTCAGAGATTTCTTGGACCTTTTTTGATTGACCAAGATCACCAAATGCTCTCAAATAATCTGCATTTTTCACCATAATCTCAATAGGTTTTTGCTGTGCTTTTCCAACAAATGTTGATATTACATCACAACCAGAAAATGCATGAAACCCAGAATGTGCACTTGTTGTATCAGATCCAATAATATCAGTAACCTTTATCATGTTTATATAACACCAGCTTCCATGCAAACATTATTCAACTCCTTTTTTTTGCTTACAGAAAACAACAGAAAAATAAAGAATCTGTGTTATTGCTGCGAACAATAAGACATCTGTCTTTGATACTATTTTCAATGACTTTTTGAATCAGATGAAAAATTTTCCTTGCGTCTGCTTCTTTGTGGTCACATACGTAATTTTCTTTCCGAATTTGCACAATATTTCCATCATGTACAGAGAACTCAAAACAGTCATTGCCTTCACCAAAAACATACGTGATGTCCTTGCAGAATCGGTACCTGTTCCGTATATTTCCAATCTTCTTTTAAGAAATTGAGAAGTGCAGTCTTAAAACTGGGTAACTGAAAATATGATGCCACTGTTTTGGACATTTCTGATCTCTTCCAGTGATAATGTATCGGATGTCATTAAATTGACCTCTTCTGCATCGTTATTCTAATTTCAGAGATGATTCCTTGTATGTATTGCAAACAAGGTGTATTGTGTCTGACATCTTGCATAATACTTTCAGGAGTTCCTTTGAAAGATCGCCATAAGAGACTGAAGTTGACATGATAGTATGCAATAGAAACATTGCATCAACAATAGTGACAGCTACGGTCTGCGAATTAGAAGAACTCCCTAGACGGTCCAGCTTTTGCATAGGTTTGCTTTTGTCTGTTTTATTCAAAGTTCCGTCGGGTTGACCGATCGATAATGGTACATTGACTAACGGATATCGGAATACCTTTCGCAAATCAATATCATTTTCAGAGCTCAAATACAGCAATCTGCCAAACAAATCTCTTGTTCCCCTTAGATCTATTTCTTTCTTTTTTGATGCAAGATTTGTCTTTACAGTGTCTGATGCTAAATTGCGCACACGCCTCCTTGGGATCGGTTTTTCAAATCTAGTGACATCTGAAAAACAGCCATTGACGAACTAATTCTTCCAATGAAGGCCAATATCAATGACATCCAGCAGGTCATTTTGAGTTACTAAGCTGGTTTGCTTGCCAGATGTTATAGAGAAGAGCTCCTTACTATGTCTGGTTTTGAAAGGATTATGTGTGTTTTCAACAACCTTTGTGATATCTTCTTTGTCTCGTTTAATTCTACATTCTAGTAGTGATGTTCCTGTGTCACCCGATGTGTCCAGACCAAGATTGTCTTGCTAACCAGTAACAATTGCACTTCGTATTGCACGAGTTACCAGCCATCTCCTTCTAGCTGATACAGAGTTGTTGTAAGCCACCGTTCTGTTTAGAGGCAGCATCAGCATTCACAGTCTGCTATAAGGCCACATCTACTGGTACTCTTGAGAATGCCTTATTTGTTCTTCGGATCGAAAGCGCCCCATTTTCCAGCATTTCTTTCATACAAGGGTGCATTATCTCTACATTCAATAGATTAAAAAGGTACCTCACCATCAAGCGTGCATAGTTTGGTCTGTTTATTGCAAAATACACATGGAAAATTCCACCTAATGAAAAAATGAAAAGGGGCAAATTATTTGTTCTACAGGCTCTACTGAAACGCAGGTAAATAGATACCATTTACACATAAGTTAGCCAAACAAAACTTGGCTGTGCATCCATGTTCATCTTTTAACGTCAACTGTTCAAATCTTTCATATCTTGACATAATGTCATCATACTCTAGTGATTTTTCAACTGTAGTCCTTGCATCTGATGATGAATTATCCGTTAAAGTTAATACCATCTTCCATTAAAAATTGTCCAACATGAAGTGTCTGAAATGACGCCATAAGGATTTGGTGAAGACGTGAGCACCTGTTGAATTGTTTTCCCTTCAGGAATCTATAAATTGAACCGGGGGCAAGGATGCCTCTTTCGGTTAACACTTCAGGACCACCTAAACCATCAAGGAAATATCCCAAAGCTTCAAAATATGCCATTATACATATAGGATGGAATGTTCCAAAACATATGAATAAATGGTCATATTTTGGAGTTTCGGTTGCCTGTATTTGCAGTGCTGCTTTCGCTATTGCAAGGTCGAAGGTAACAGTAATGCATGGAAGTCCACATTCATCTGTCACCATCAAACTTCTCTGCAATGTTTCAACAACAACATCCAATATCGTTTGTGGCAATGTTATGTTATGTTCGCCATATATGCAATTCTCTATTTTGGTAGAGAATCAATGCTATATTATGCATTCCATGCAGCCCATAAAGGAATTTTACTTTGCAAAGCCATACAATATTCTAAAAAATCCAAAACTTATCAAGCCGTTCTAAACTTAATATACATTTTGGTCTGACCATTTTTTGGATGTGATGTTGAAATGTCACTATCTTTGGGAGTTTCCGATATCGTTCAATTAGAGATTCTTGGATGCTAAGTGTTCTCTTGGAGCCTGGTGAGGCCGTTTCTGGTATCTGATTTGCTTTTATATCATCAAACTGTTC